ACAATGGCGTCGCTGTCGGCGGTGCCAAGGTCAGGAACGAAATCAAGAATGAAGACGTTGTTCCTGAGGACCGCCTTGCCGATGTAAAGTCCTCCTCTCCTGTGATACAGCTTGAATTCTTGGGTGGTGCTGTCTACTTCGAGGTGAATTCCCTTCGCCATTAGCTGACTGATGCTCAGTAAGTTGTAGCCGAGTCCCTCCGCGATTAGTACTTTTGACATTTGCAGTATAACATTTGTTTCCCTTGACTGAAGTTGAACTACGCCTTGTCGTCGTGTTCGCAGGTTCTGATTGTTGGGGACTGTAATGACAACTTCGCGTTGAAGTTGGTGTTCTCGTTGAACGAAGTGTCCCAAGGAGCACATGTGCTGTCCGCAGCAACTGTCCAAGAACCATGTGTCCCTTCCGGATGGTTCGCTTTGGGCGATGGCGGCGTATGTCGGGTTCAGCTGAAGTGACTCGTGGCAGGGTGTGATTTCGTTGAGTTGTTCTTCCGGTGAGTAGTGTGGTGGTGACTCGGTGATGCAGGAGTCTGTCAGCTTTGCCATGCAGCTGACGATGTTTCTTGCTCCTTGTGCAGGTTGTCCTGTTGAGGTCGTTGAAGCTTGAATCTGAGTTGTGGGATTTACTTGCGTTGAGGCGATTTGGCTGCTTGAAGGTCAAAGTTGCCGCTGTGGGGTTGTTGACTGTTGACGATTCGGGCAGTGTGTACGCGGGTGTCCTGAGGTTTTGCAGATGTGGCAGAACGGAGGTACTGGCTTCGGTTGTTGCTGCCAGTTGTTGTTGTTGTTGTAGCGTCGCTGAGTGTGGAACGCGAATTACGGTGCTGATGTCTTCTTTTTGTGTCGTTCTTCTTGCACGTCCATGTCTTGTTGCTCGGCGTGGATTTTGGCGCAGAGCGCTGCTTCGGAGATTCTTCCGTGAGCTCGGAGGATAGCCTTTGTGGCACGCCATTGAGGACTGAGGCCGCCGATGATGACTGTCACGAAGGCGTCTTCAGAGATTGACCCTCCGCATCGAAGAAGCTTGTCGCGCAACTCGCGCCATTGACTGATATACGCCATTCCTTTCTCCCCTGGTTTCATTTCAACAGTTGTAAGTTGCGCCATTAACCGACTTTGACTTACGCTGTCTGTTGCTTGATACAGGCTCTTCAGGTGGTTGTACGCGAGCTTCGCGGAGTTGCCATAACCTCGGTAAGTCCTTATGTTCTGCTGTTGAGTCGGGGTGATGTTCCTCAGTAGGATCGTATACACCATCATTGACTGATAGGTGTACTGCTGCTTCTCGCACTGTGTGCCGTTTGTTGGGTATGGCAGAGACCCGTCGAAGAACCCTAGTATCTGCGTGCCTTCCATCATCAGCTCGAACTCAAACGACCAGGTGAAGAAGTCCTTTCCATCGGAGGGTCTTGACGTCTGCATCTTCAGAACGTGAACGAACTACGACTGAACTTGCAATGCGTCCAGTGGTTTTTCTTGTCCAGGTGAGGGCTGTGGGTGTGGCATGAAGCTAATGGACCCGCGCTCGTACGGAGCAAAGGTAGGCTGTTGTTGATTTCCTCGTGCATATGATGAGCCGTTGAGACTCATGGGTGTTGCTCCGTTGTTGTTGCTGCTGTGTGACTGCGCACGTGCTGATTGCTGGAGTTGCTCGTAGAGGGACATGAAGGAGAAAAACTTTTCCATCATGCTCTGGTCGAAGTCTGCAGGTTGATTCGCAGGAGTCTCGGTAGATGTTCCTCTGGGTCTTGCTGCCGTGCCCTCCTCTGTCTGTAGGCCAGAGGCTGGAGGTGGAGTAGGAGTAGTTCCCAGGGAGCCGTTGGAGTTGCTCCTTTCCTTTTGTGTAGCCATGCTGATTGATACTGTTGGTATAGAAGTTCAATTCCCCCTAATAGCTCTCATACCATGTAGGGCTGAAAAAGGCCCCTAGGATCTTTGCAGGGGTGAACTCTGGGTAGAGTTGGTGTAATAGCGGAAGCGTTAATAAAGTGTTGTGAACCACCTTGCGCTAGTATGTGAGAGCAAAGTAAGTTGATTAAAACAAGGAGATACAAGATTATATATGAATACAGGGAATATGAAAGGACATAGTTATAACTACTTTACTCTTGCTGTTGCGGTTCGATACAGTGACGACTCGGGCAACTGCTCTGTAACGAGTCAGTTGTGTGTCCTTGCTGTTGCGCTGTACTTGTCAGGTCAAAGGCGACTGACCTTTGACTTTCGCGTAACCTCTAGCAGTTACTTCAACCTCCGAGGGTTGACTCGCTGGTTCCTCGATATGCTTTGCTTCGCTTGTGCCTTAGTGTTTCGACACGACAGAGGCGCTTAGGACCGATTGTTTCCAACAGGAGCTAGGTGAATGTCGATTAGGCAAGAGGGAGGGGATACAAGACTATCGAGAGAATTGGGTTGTACCCTCTAAGGAATTACCCCTACAAAACCTCGAGTGAAATAAACAGAAATATATGATTTGACACACCCCCATAGGTGAAGTAGGGGATAGCCAAACCTAACAGTGGTCAAAAGACCAGGTCAAGCAGGAGAACATGCAAGGCAAAGCCCAGGGTGGATCTCAGAGACACCACACAATCTGAGCACAAGCAGGCGGCCACAAGGCCAGTTCACATGCAGATTTATGTCAGAATGTTATTGTCTAGCCTGTAGTGGGGTGCTCTATAGCGAGTACAACCCTGTTAGGGTTTGCTATATGTATCCCAACTGCTGTTAGTGAAACCTCTCTTTTGTCATTCTTCTTTTGCACACTTCTTGTTGATTTTGACTTGCTATTAGAGCAAGTCGATCCCCTTGGGTCGATCCTGTGGGTGGGCCCGCCACCTAATTGCTTCCGCTGCTGTTCTGCTTCACGTCGTCTTCTTCCTACCACGCGGCGCAAATTTTTAAGGGTTTTTCATCCCGCTGTGTGCTCGAGGCGCGCGGCGAGTTTCTGCCCGCCGTGCGCCCCGAGGCGCCCTGGCGGTTTTCTGCTGTGGGGGACCCACGCGCAACACCCCGCCCTTCCCAACCCGTCGCCCTGCAGGCCGCGCGCAGGTCTGCAGGACGCGTGCGGCCCGTCTGCCCGTCACGCGGCCTTGGGGAGCAGCGCGCGGCCCACGCCCTTCCCGTCGCGTCGCTCTAGCAGATCGCGCGCGGGTCTGCAGGGCGCGCGCGGCCCGTCTGCCAGCCGCGCGGCCTTGGGGAGCCGCGCGCGCCCCCTGCTCGTCCGTCGCGGCGCCCTGGGGAGCCGCGCGCGCCCCTTTGCCCGTCCGTCTTGGCGCCCTGGGGAGGAGCGCGCGGCCCCTCTTGTCCCGTCCCCCCCCCCCCCCCCCCCCCTCGTGTTGCCCATTCCTCCCGTGCCGCCTTGCGTTCCGCGGTGGTGGGGGGTGTGGTGTGGCAAGCATGGGGGTGCGCGGTGTGGGTGTTCCCCTCCTCCTTGTTCGTCTCCCACTACTGCAGCTGGTGCTAAGGGGGGTGGAGGTGTGGGAGCCGCGGGGAGTGGAGCTTGGGGGGTGACGTGGGAGTGGAGATAGGGGTGCAGTAGGGGGTGTGTGGAAAGGAGGTGGGACTGTTTGGGGAGGCTGAGAGGAGGCCGCCGTCGTGTCGTTCGCAGCGCCTATAGTCTGGAGCCATCGTGCTCTCGGTAGCCTAGAGAGCCTTGCTGTGCCGGTCGCCCGTGGGTCCGTTGCTCCTTCCGCTCGTCGTAGCTGCGGGGCCTGTTACTCCCTGTAGTCCGGGGCACTTGCCGCCGGTAGCCACTGTGCCAGTCCTCCTGTTGCCCGTGTGTCTGCAGCTTCAGCCGTCGTCTCCCATCTTCTCTCCCTTCACAATTCCTCCTCCTCCTCACTTGCCCTCTGTGATCGCCTCTAGCTTTGCATATAATTGTGAACTATTACTCTGCCTGCTCATTGTGCTAATTACACCCCACTTTGGCTATGTGGGTGTGTCAAAATGTTATTATCTAGCATGTAGTGGGGTGTTCTATAGCGAGTACAACCTAGTTAGGGTTTGCTATATGTATCCCAATTGCTGCTAGTGAAACCTCTCTTTCGTCATTCTTCTTTTGCACACTTCTTGTTGATTTTGACAATTTATAATAGCAAGGCAGTACACCGATTACAACCTAGCAAGAGTAAATGCAGGTATAAACATTAAAACATGTATAGCAATGTACAACAAGAGCAAGTCAAGCAACCAGTTGTTGAAAGGCTAGGCAGAAATCAGAATCAAGAAAGAGTGGTTTTCACTAGCATGCAGTTGAGTACATATAGCAAACCCTAGTTTGGGCTGTACTCGCTATAGAGTACCCTACTGCAGGCTACACAAACATCACATTCTAACACTAGCAGGTTGTTGGGCTGAGAAAGCCCTTAGGATCTTTGCAAGGCTAAACTCATAATAGGAATGTTGTAGTTGCACAAGCGTTTTGATAAGAAGTATTGAACCACCTCGTGCTGGTATGTGAGGGCAAAGTACCGTCATCGCTCGAATATAAGACATATATGTCTTATCTCATACACTACTCAAAATTCTTGTGTTATCTTGTATTTCCGATGGTTTAGGGTGTCTTATAAGTCTGATAAATTGAAATATTTTTAAGTAGTCTGTAATACTTGCAAAGTGTGTAGAAACCACCCTTGGGCCAGATTCATTGAAACAGGCCGACCTCGGTGGTGATGCATGCAGCGCCCACACTTGCCACGTGAGGGATGCAGCAAAGCTGCCACCGCTAGCAACATTCCTCTGTGCTGGCAGCATCTAATGATGCTGCAAGCGTCGTTTTGCTGCCAGCAGCGCATGGATGCTTCCAGAACGCTGCTGGCAGCACGATGGCAGCGTGAGGACTGTCCTCTACGAAGAGATGCCTCGTAGAGGAGCGGCTCAGCACCTTTGGATGGGGCACTCTGGCTGGGGGGGGTTAAGTCAGGGCTCGTGCTTCATTTGGTGCTCAAGGAGGTTGAATACTTCGTGTCAACCTTGCTCTCGGCAGAATCTCTAACCATGCGCAACAAAGTACCCCCAGGCTCGTCCTCTCCTCATCCTCACGTGCAGGTGAATAACTACGGCCGGATTAACTCGCCCTGCGATGAAATCCGTGTAGCCATGGCGAAGAACGCGAGCAAGGCGGGACGTTCTACCGCCGCCTCCAGTGCGAGCTCTGACGGGAACGACGGTGACGACGAACACGACGAAGACGCCGAGGAGAATTGGCCGGAGAACGGCCACGACGACAGCACTTTGGGTGACGAATTAGCTCCTGCCGACATCGAGAAGGACGAGTGGTGGAATTGGCCGGTCGGGAGCGATGACGAAGTGGAAGAGTGGCGGGCTGGTGATTTGGACAACGACGGAGGTGCCGATGCTGATGGTGACAACGCGGAGGCAGTGACGCATGCACCGCACGCGACGGTGGATGCGAATGCGGAGGTTGACGACGAGGCGGAAGCAGATGCCGAGGCAGTTGCGCTTGCGGAGGTGGCCGCCATTGCGGATGCGGATGCTGTGGCGGAGGCGAACAAGGTTGCTGCTGATGCTGTCTTATTTGACGGTAAAGGCTCCGACGACGACCCGTGGAGCTTCAAGGACGGCGACGGCGTTCCGCTAATGAAGCGGAGGCTGCGCCATCGCCTACAATCCAAGCCGAAGCGTGCCCGCGTGGTGCTCTCAGACGACGACAGTCCGAGGGAGGAGCGTCGCCCCATACTCACCGCTGCAGAGAAGGGTAAAGCTAAGGTCGTGGAAGCCCCTGCTAAGGCTACTGTTCGTCGCCGCACAAGCAACAAGAAGCGGAAAACGGACGGCCATCCTGGATCCAGCAAGGGTGCTACTAAGAAGAAGGCGAAGAAGACACCAAATCCGGACGACATCGTTGTCAACGAGACTCTGGGCAGCGACAAATATTACGCAGAAGCGGTGGGGCCGATTCCTTCATTCCCTGAGAAGCCCACGCCGAAAGACCCCACCCTCAATAATCCCAACACCCGCCCACCTTCCCCTCGCAGCAAGGACACCACGAAGAAGCGACGCGGATGGACTGTGCACGAGAAGCTGAAGTGGGCGCGCTGCTATAAGGAGCTCGGCTCCTTGAAGAAGATGAGCTTGGAATCAACCGCATCCATTGCTTGCATCAGACGGTGGAGTGCGGAGGCGGCTGCGGGCTTCTACAAGGGAGCGGCGAATTGCCGCAAGCGGATGCACGGGGGGGGTCGCCACGCAGACTACCCCGACATGGAGGCGGCGCTGTACCACTACATCTGCCTTCAGCGCGCTAATGGGGTGGCCATCTCGGTGAAAGACACCCAGAAGTGGAGCCGCGAGTGGATGAAGAAACACCACCCCGGCAGGAAGTGGAACACGAGCTCTCACTGGAGCCAGCGCTTCCGTGACCGCTAGAACCTGGTCATGCAGGTGAAGACCAAGGTTGGCCAACGTTTATTCGCAGGTGAGTGGTGACGGAATTCGTTTTGCGCGCGATGCTTGAATGCAAGTGCCTCGCATAGTTTCTAAGCATCCCTTGCTTTGGTGCCGTTTGTTTCGCTTGCAGAGTGTGCTAAGGATTGCGAATTCTTCTGGAAGTCGTGCGCATCAACAGGGCGCGGCACAACATCGACCTGGCCCGCATCATCAACGCGGACCAGACTCCACTATTCGTGGAGATGCCGGCCGAGAGGACGATCGAGCACCGTGGCGCGCGCTCGGTCCCAATCCGCACTGCAGGCTACCAAAAGACGCGCTTGATGGTGATGCTCGCGTGCACTGCATCCAGGGAGAAGTTGCGGTCGTGGATGTGGTTAAAGATGAAGAACGTGCCCAACTGTGAGATTCCGGAAGGTAAGCTTAATGAATTCAAAAGCCGACTGCCTGATGAGCGTGCCCCACTCTGCTGATGCCCGTTTGTCCCCTGTGTGCCTGGCAGGAATCGTGGTGCAAGCACAGGACAACGGGTGGATGGACGAGAGCGCTGTGCAGACCTGGCTGGCTAAGGAGGTGCTGCCCCATCTGAACCCCCAGCATGGCCAGAACGCGAGGCGTGCGATGCTGGTGTTGGACTCCTACCGCGGCCACATAACCCTGACCATGCTTCAGTCATACCGCACGCACAGCATCACCCCTGCAGTTATCCCAGCGGGTTGTACGAGCCAGATTCAACCCTTGGACGTCTCCATCAACCGGTGCTCCAAGGCTGTCGTGCGAGCGCGCTACGCCAGGTTTTTCATGCGTGAAGGGATTAACCTGAAGACGAAGAAGGGTGAGTTGGACATTGATTCTAACATTTTGCTCTGTTTCCTGTCCATGTCTTTAACATGCTCTGTTTCATGTCCATGTCTCTGTCCTACCTGCAGGGAACTTGCGGAGGCCTTCGCACCCCATGGTGCTGCAGTGGATCGTTGAGGCTTGGGATCAAGTCCCCAAGCAGATCATCATCGGCGCGTTCAGCCACTGTGGGATATCAAGCAAGCTGGACGGAACGGAGAACCACCTGGTGATGTCTCACCTGCGCGCCAAGAGCACCACCGATGTTACCAAGGACATGACCCTCGGGGGGACCATGGGCGACAACACGCGCCTGCTTGGCCAAGCTCCAGAGGAGGAGGAGGAGGAGGAGGAGGAGGAGGAGGAGGAGGAGGAGGAGGAGGAGGAGGAGGAGGAGGAGGAGGAGAAGGAGGAGGAGGAGGAGGAGGAGGAGGAGGAGATGCAGGCGGAGGGCATGAGGGAGGTGGCTCTGGCAACCGGCCTGGAGGTGCTGTACCAAGAGAACCCCAACTACCGCGAAGCGGCGGCTGAGGCTGACCGCATGATCGAGCCTAGGGAGACGGCCAGACTTGGGTGTAGAGCCTGTTGTTAGTGCAGGTGAGGAGGCGGTGACTGAGAGGGGCTAGGTAGAAGTAGAGATTCATGAATATAAGCATGTACCCCCTTAAAGTAAGCAAGGCTCGTTTAGAAGACACCCCCTATTTACAAGAGAACCCCTAAACCCCTGTTCTGATTATAAGACATATATGTCTTATCTCGTACACACTGATAGGTGTCGTATAAAAAGGCTGGCCTGTTTATAAGAGACACTCGTATAATAGACAACCCCTGTCTACTATTCAACACTGTCTTATATCCGGACGATGATGGTAAATTGATCAAGCAAAGGGATACAAGTTTTTTATAAGAGTACAAGGAATATGAAGAGATACAACTAATAACCATTTTACTGTTCCTGTTGCGGTTCGATACAGTGGCGACTCGGGCAACTGCTCAATATCAAGTCAGTTGTTTGTCCTTGCTGTCGCGCTGTACTTTTCAGGTCAAAGGTCACTGGCCTTTGACTTTCACGTAACCTCCAGCAGATGCTTTTCTTCTCAACCTCCAATGGTTGACTCGCTGATGCTTCATTGTGTTTCGCTTTGTTCACGGCTTAGTGGTTTCTCTCACAACAGAGGCGCTTAAATCACTTGTTTCCAACACTCCCCTTCGCTTCTGGAGTGTCGCTGCTGGTGACGTGGAATTGTCCAGTCAGCAGCATGCAGTACTCGAACTTTTGCTTTTTAAGCTTCTTGGTCAAGTAATCAGCTGCCATCTTCTCGAGTGGGGCAGTAAGACAGCTTGAGTCTCCCCTTCTCGATCTCGTCCTTCATGAAGAAATATCTCAGGGCGATGTGCTTCGTTCTGTTCGCAAATCCGTTTTTGTCGGCTATGCGAATTGCAGACTGGTTGTCGCAGAATACGAAGAAGCTGGGTAACTGGGCCAGTTTCGCTTCTTCCAGCTGTTCGCGAAGGTACAGTCCTTCCTTGGTGGCTGAGCAGAGTGCAATATATTTCGCTTCAGCTGAGGAGAGAGCAATTAGTTTCTGCTTGCTCGACTACCACGAGATAGGCCTGATAGGTTCGAGTCGGTAGATGTAGCCGGTGCGTGAGCGCCTGTTGTCAGAGTCACCGGCGTGATCAGAGTCGACGTAGCCGATTAGCTTAGGCGCCGTAGTTCTGGTCTTGAAGTAGATTAGTCCGATCGTCGGGGTGCTGGCGAGGTAGTGCAGTGTGCGGTCGAGTTCTGCCATGTGTTCGGCATCAGGTTTCTTGAGGTAGGTGGCGAGTTGACTCGCAGAGTAATATAGATCCGGCCGGCAGGTGACTGCTGCAAAGAGGAGACATCCCAGCTTCCGTTGGTAATCGCGTATGCCGGCGGGTTTGAGCGGAGCGGAGCCTTCCTTGTGATTTCCGACGGTGTAGCGATATGGCGTGGAGATAGTGGTCGGGGTGAGTCCGAAGCGTTTGGCGATGGTATCGGCGAATTTTGCGGCGCTGAGATAGATTGCTTTCTCCTCTTCCTAAATGTTGAGCCCAAGGTATTGTGTTATGGTGGATGAGACGGTGAGTGTCAAGTCCCGCTGCAGCTCCCCTTAAAACCAGGTTGTGATGCCGTCGGTTGAGCCAATGTAGAGCAGATCGTCCACGTAGACGATGAGTAGGATGTAATCGTTGCCTTTTGTGAGTCGATACATGCCCTGGTTGTGCGGTAGCTGGCGGAATCCGATGCGGATGACTCGAGCGTGTAGATTTTGCTGCCACAGTCTCGGAGCCTGCTTGATGCCATATAGAGACTTCAGTAGTTGGCAAACTTGGTTAGGATCTCCGTTGGAGCTGTGTGGTAGCTCGACGAAGATCTCAGCGTCGACAGGTGCGTAGAGGAAAGTGTTGGCGACGTCGATTTAGGCGTAGCTTCTTCTTCTTCATAATGGCTATTGCTAGAAGAATTCGCAGAGGTGTGTCGGCTGACCGGCGCAAACGTTTCGGTGAAGTCCCGTCCGTGCTCTTGGTTGAGGCCGCGTACGACCCATCGTGCTTTAAACTTGTCGATGGTGCCGTCTGCTTTGGTTTTCACACGGAAAACCCACTTTTTTGAGAGGATTGTCTTGTTGCATGCCACGCCAATGGGAACAATTTTCCAGGTGTTGCGTTCTTCCAGCACCTTTAATTCCTTGTCCATGGCTTCTCGCCATTTTTATCTATGCTTCCCCCAAGAGCCTGCTGAACAGTGGCAGGCTCCTTAGGAGGCGCCATGCCATGGACTGCGGTGACAAGGCCAAGTATCTGGAGTCCACTCTGTGTGCAGCGGGGAAGAGTTGTGTCCGCGGGATATGCTGCTTCGTCACCTACTTCTGGATCAGGTAAGAAATTGGGTCCTATGTGTTTGACTTTGTTGGTGTTGACTCGGGCGGGTGTAACGTAACCAGTGTCGGCAAAGTCGTAGAAGACTTCGGCGTTGATGCTCTTGCGAGGGTTGCCGTCGTCCATTGGGATGTCCATCGAGCAGTAGGGAAGGGGTCCGGCTTCTTCCGAAGCTCCGTCCATGGTCTGCTCGTCCAGGTCAGCTTCATCTTCTGCCGAAGCGAAAGCTCGGTCCCCACAAAATCCGCCCGTGACATCTCGTGAGGTTTCCAGGTTGTACAGGTATGTTGGAAGAGTGAGACGTTCGTAGAAGATGACATCACGTGCTGCCACTGTTTCCTTTGTGTTGATGTCGAAAATCTTCCATGCGTTGTAATGTTTTTTGATGCCCAGGTGTAGTCCCCATTGTGCGCGCTGGGAGAATCGACCGGCGCGTGCAGCTGGGGGTCCGTACTGTACCATGCAGCCGAACACTCGTAACATTTTTGTGTTGCCCAATTTTCCTGTTAACAGCAGATGCGGTGATGCGTTGTTCGGGAGCAATGATGACGAAAGTAAGTTGTGCAGCATGACAGCATGGTCCATCGCCTTGGGCCACTGGTGGTTGGGTAGCCGCATGCCACGTAGCAGCTTGCGCAAGGTGTTCTGGAGGGTCCTGTTCATTCTTTCTGCCACGCCTTGCTGTTTGTGAGCATAGGGAAGAGAGAGGAGTCTCTTGATGCCTCTCTCCGCCAGGTACTGCGTGAACCTCTGTGATGTGTATTCTCCTCCCCCGTCTGACTGGAAACTTTTCAACTTCACTCCTGATTCTCGTTCTGCTACTGGAAGACATGCGACGAAAGCTTGGAAGGCCATTTCGCGGCTTGGGAGGTTAAGATGCCATACGAATCGTGTAGCGGCATCGATGAAGGTGATGACATAGTTGTACGCTCCTTGACCCGGTTCACGGTTGTACAGTATATCGCTGTACACTTTCTCCAGAGGTGCGTATGCTGGTGCGCTCGGGTTGTGATGTGAGACAAACAGCTGATGCGGTAAGTCGGCTTCGGGGCAGGTGAGGCATGTTCCTCAAACCCGTTGAAGTTATCTGCCATCGGGTAGAAGTAGGGAGTCTTTATCGAGTACTCCTCCTCATATCGTGTTGTTTAACGTTAAGTTGCTCGGATGTCCCATTCTTGCGTGCCAAATATCTCCACCAGCGCGGTGTCCTGGTGAGCGCTTGTACAAGTCGGAGTTGGTGTAAAAACCGGCGGTGAAGTTGGCGCTTCTATGGACTTCTCGTGGACTGGGTGTCAGCTACTGCGCAGGAGTCGGTGGAGTAACGCCGACGATTGGGACTGGTGCCGTTGAGGGTCCTGCGGTTGTTGTCATGAATATTGTTGTCTCTGCTGCTACCGGTGTTGTCTCTGCTGCTGCTGATGTTGTCTCTTCTGCTGCCGATGTTGTCTCTGCTGCTGCCAATGTTGTCTCTACTGCTGCTAATGTTGTCTCTGCTGCTTGTTGAATTGCTGCTAATGCTCGTGTTCGTTCTGCCTCAAGTACCATGCTCGAGTACCAAAAGCCGCCGGGGCTAAAACTGGGGTCAAGATCCGGTGGGTGTGTATAGGAAGTGAAGTTGACGATGGCGTCCCTGTCGGCGGTGCCGAGGTCTAGAACGAAGTCGAGGACGAAGACGTTGTTCTTCAACACCGCTTTCCCGATGTAAAGTCCGCCTTTCCCGTGATACAACTTGAACTCCTGGGTGGTGCTGTCTGCTTCGAGGTGAATGCCTTTCGCCATCAGCTAACTGACACTCTGTAGGTTGTAGCCGAGTCCCTCCGCTATTAAAACTTTTGACATTTGCAGTATGACATCGGTCTCTCGTGACTGAAGTTGAACTACGCCCTATCGCCGTGTGCGCATGTTCTGATTGTTGGCGACGGTGATGACGACTTCGCGCTGAAGTTGGTGTTCCCGTTGGACGAACAGACCCAAGAAACACATATGTTGTTCGCGGCAGCTGTCCAAAAACCAAGTATCTTTCCCAAATGGCTCGCTCTGGGCGATGGCTGCGTATGTCGGGTTCGGCTCCATTGTCTCGCGGCGAGGAGTGCTTTCGTCAAGTTGTTCTTCTGGTGAGTAGTACGGTGGTGACTCAGTGATGCAGGAGTCTGACAATCTCGCCATGCAGCTCACGATGTTTCTTGTCCCTTGTGCAGGTTGCGTTGTTGTCGAGGTTTGAACCTGAGGAGTGGGATGCGCTTGTGTTGGGGCGACTTGGCTACTTGAAGGTCGAAGTTGTCGTTGTGGTGTCGTTGACTGTCGCAGGCTTGGACAGTGTATGGGTGTCCAGACGTCTTGCAGAGATGACAGACCGGTGGTACGTGTTGCTGCAGCTGTTGTTTATTATGTCGGTTGGAGTTGAGTTGTTGAAGCGGCGTTGGGTGTGGAATGCGAATTCAGGTAGTAATGTATTTCTCTTGTGTCGTTCTTTGTGCAGGTCCATGTCTTGTTGTTCGGCGTGAATTTTGGCGCAGAGTACGACTTCAGAAATTTTTCCGTGGGCTCGGAGAATAGCTCGAGTGGAACGCCAATGAGGACCAAGTCCAGTGATGACGAGAGTGACAAAGGCTTCTTCAGATATCGATCCTCCGCATCGAAGAAGTTTGTCGCGCAGTTCGCGACAACGGCTGATATACGCCATCCCCT